ATTCGTATTCCGGCCGTAGGGTAGAGGACCCTACTATATTCAGGATGCAGGTATAGCCCCGGGATTTGTGAGTCAAAAAACTATGCAGGTACCGCCCCGGGATTTGTGAGTCAAAAAACTATGCAGGTACCACCCCGGGATTTGTGAATTTTGAAATTTTCCAAAATTATAAAGGGAATTAAATGTTCAAGTAGGGAAAACAAGAAGCCTTATGACTTTAACTGTTATTCTTCAGGCTGAGCATAAAAGTTTCCCTTTTCGTTCTTGCTTCATTGATAAAATTTTATCCCTAAATCCCTTGTTGTATTTTGGCTAACTAGGAAAATTCTAGACGATTAATATATGGAACTATTTTATTTGTCTGAGATTTGGAAATTTTCAAGATTGAATTAATGATATGTAGATTTTAACAATAAATCTATTAATGAATGTAAATTTCGGCTCAATTATTTTTATATTAGAATCCTTTTTTAGGATATTGAATTTTGCCCTTTTATCACTGATCCCTAATATTTTACAGATCACCCTCTTATTCCACTTCCAATCTAAGTTATAAGTACTTTGCTATCAACTATTTTGAGTATTTTTATATTTATTTTAATTGTTGGTCTAATCTGTTTTACATAAGTCTAAGAAGTTCCTGTTGACTGGAGCTGTTCCAAATGTAAACTTTACTTTTTTTCAATCAAATGCTTAAATGAAACATTTGATTTGCAATTAACTTTGTTAAAATAAAAATTTAAGATTTTTGAATAGCAGAACATTATTGCAGATTGTTATAAAGAATTTTTATACAATCCAAATTAAGTAATCAGAATTGAGCAAGACTTAATCTCTTTTTTGGCTTAGAATTCCTTAGTTCATCAAATTCTCTTGTGGAATCTCATACTTATTCAAAATCTTGTCACTCTCTAATGCAATACAAAACTCTCTAAAATTCTCTGTCTCTATGGAGTGACTCTCAAATTAAGAAAATTCTTCTTCTAGCTGAGATTCTCTTTATTTTAGTATTTGTCTCTACAGGA